TCTCCATCCAATGGTAATCTCTAGCGTCTGGTTAGTCCACTCTATACAGATAGTATTTATTGCGCATGCTCTCCAGATATGAATACGACGTCACCGTTTGACATGACTTTGAGGAATATATCTAGCCTCTTTCTACGAGTCCCTTGTTAAAAATGGCGCTAAAATGTATCATGGTACACGATTCGTATACCAACGGTAAAATGTTTATTTTGTCTTAATTATTGGATATCAGAAGCCCATCTTTTCCCCGTAAGATCACAACATCAATGTTTATTTAAATTGACAAATAATTCGTGTTTTCAATGTCGAAGATTTTGGATGATATTGAGGTAGAGACTTAGCTACTTTAAATCATGTCCAAAACTTCAATTATCAGAATTATAATAATTTCTTGTCAAATCTTACGAAGTTTAAGATTTTCGTGTTTATTCTCCATGACCTGGTGTTGCGCATATAATAATTGATACCCACATATTAATGTCGTTTAACACATCGTCACGCTCGGGACATATTGATAGCGTGATTGCTGGATTTGGGTTCAGTCACCAATTGGATGCTATTTCTGAAATACTGACGCAAATTGTTATGCCATTATTTTTAATTATGGTCACGATCTAAGCACATATTGATGATGTTGCTCAACATCAAAGTCGTATATTCCCACGGAATTTTTTTTTTTTTTTCTCTGTAACATAGTAAAATCCAGTAAAACATTGTAAACTCATCATTTCGTCTTTAAAGCTTTTAATTCACAGTTTAATGTTTTTATTATTTATTGTAAGTTTGTCACAATGTCGTAATCGTAAACTCATCATGGACTATTTCATGTTAGACTGTGAACATATATGAGTGAAGTTTAAAGAGATTTCAATAGAGCTCCGTTGTATTAACTTCCAGCCCCTACAATTAACTCTTAAATAATTATAGTAGGGATGTGAAAGGCCAGGTCGTCCCCAGTGGAGATTATAATTGCTTCTAAATAGGGTCAGCAGATTGTAAATAGGCTTCTCATACACGACCCCCGTCCCTAACTTAACAGCCGTTACGTCACGGGTAATTGCCAAGAGGGAGCTAAGACTTTGATATTGCCCGCCAGTACCGAGTAATTGTGGTGTATCAGAATTTACGAGCCTCTGATGTTACGATTCGGGTAGAAGTCAGTCAATTAATGACGTATTAACACAATATTGTCAATAGAGTAGGAACAGGAGGTTAAATGAAGCAAGAATGCGAGCTGTTTTCATCAATTCGTGGCTTAAAGAAGTTAAAAGTCATCCGGGTTTTAATTCTCAATCAGAAATTGCAATACACTTAAAAAGCGTCACGCCCAACTAGGTCTCAAAATTTGTAATGGAGAAAACGATGACGCAGAATGCAAAAACAATGGCGTTTTGTTTATAAACATGTGGTATATTAAAAACATTATTGCGCTATTAACCTCCTATGATGATTGAGGGTTAACCGACAACCACTCAAATACATAAGATACAAAATAAGAAAAAAGAAAAGTCCGTTCAATTAATTAATATTTGGATTATATTCATTTTTAGTATAATATTAATACGAGTTGACTGTATTACAAAAATATTTCTTACTAATGATAGATATTTACTAAACAAATGTCCAATTTTAAAAAAAGGAAATAAAAAAACCCATTATATACTGGTATATTGTTTGAATTTTGAATAATATGTTTCATTGTGAAAATTAAGTGTCAATATTTCTTCTTATATGGCAGATAAGTTGCTTATATTTATTATCCTAGGGCAAGCCCAATGGTCTTTCCTGAGGGATGAAACCGGAATAAACCCACGAGGTTGAGAAGGCACCTCTATCTCCCACCAGGGAGCCCTTGGTTACCAGCTAGCTAGAGCTCGAAGTGCGACGCTCTAGAGCACCCCCCCCCCCAACTTCAGTCAGTATTATGCCGCCTTCACTTTTGTATTCCGGTAGCTTTCAATCCGACAACCCAGGGGTTGTTTATAAACCGAAAATTAGCAATATTGTACGCACCTGTACTCACCTGTATTCTATGTTAAATATCTGAAAATGGAGTATTGTTGGTTGTTCTTCTTCAGTTTCCGGGTGAAAAATGCCGAACATTTAAAGGGCTTATAGCTCTATTCTTTGGAAACATAAATGGGTTTAAAAACACATATGACTGTAATATGAGTGTATATTAAGTGATTTATATTCAGTATTTCAAAAAAGATTATTGTAATTTCTAATCAATTATGTTCGGTGAAATACGCGAACAGTCGAAATTGAGGGACAGTCGTTTAAGCCTAATTAGTCCATTCTACACGTTTTTTATTATTATTTTATCGTTTGTGAATTAGTCATTACTCCCGAAACCATAGGATACACAACCCATGCCGATTATGCAATGTTCATTGTGTCTTATAAATATTGGAAATTAGGATCCCATATTTCCACGGCAAGATAACAACATCAAAATTGATTGAAATGGATCAGTATAGAATTCTGATTCGTGGTTTTAATTTCGAACATCGTTGAAAATATTAAATTTGAGGTTTAGCTCCTTTAAGCTTGCCTGTTTTTATTTTGTTTTTGTTTTTCGTCTCGGTTCCCACTTTTCAGGGATAGCGTTACCTATATAGGATGAACAAGCGGTTGCCATGCAAGATTAGCCCACATATGCACATGCACATATCGAAAGGAACCAAGATCTCTGCGTTATAAACATACATTTTAAATGTCATCAAAATCGGATAAAAATTATGACATCTAGAGAGTCCCCCAACCATGGTATTACATAATTTTAGACTATTTGCGTACATTGATCGACCATTTTGTCCGGCAGTTTCGGTCGGATTTTTAAGAAATTCGAACTCAACCTTCATTGAGGTGTAACGGTGCTTAAACGATTTTCAAAATTGAATCCAAATTGTGTCATCTAGGGATTCCACAAGCTAAAAACGTGATTTTTCGAACAACCAGGGGCCATGATACAAGGAGTTACGTTCCGATATGCACGATTATCAAAAGGAATCGAGATCTTTGTGATATAAACATAAATTTAAAGTTTCATAAAAATCGGATAAAAATTGTGACATATAGAGGGTCCATAATACTATACTTTTACGCTATTAACATACGAAGAGCGGCCATTTCAAAAAATTCGTACATAATCGTCATAACGGTGATGTATTCGAAACTTCTTTTTTAAATTGGATAAAAATTGTGATTCTAGAGGGACCACAAGCTAAAAACGCGATCGATTTTTCGTACGGTCTAGGAAGATACAATCCGATATGGGCGAATATAGAAAAGAACCAAGATCTTTGAGTTTGACTTTGAGTTCACGTGGTAAGAGGATCGGAAATGTTGAGATGAACGAGTGGGCAGGGGTTTTTGTCGATCGATCTACATTCATTAACACCCTTTTCCATCACTGATTCCATGCTCTTTTTTTCATTTAGAAAAGCATTATCACTTTAAACAACAAAAAGTTTACTAACCGAAAAACCGGATTCCAACCTTCTACCTATAATTATTTGGAATACATAGGATCGGATTGAACTGGATTTAAAATCGATAGCATAATTATCGGCTTCTCAAATAATGGAATCCTCGCACCGGAAATTGTCAGCTGCGAAGACTAAGGGAAGAGGGAGAAATGGGGTTAGACGTCCACTCGACATAAACTAGGTCATTTCGGAACTAACAAATGATTCAATTTTATTTCAATAATTGTCTTGCGCGTAGGACTAGGAGTCTTTAGCAGTGGGAGGAAATCGGAGGACCCGGAGAAAACCCACGAGTTGGAAAGGCAACCCTACTCCTTGTCACGTACAACCGGGGTATCGAAACCACGCCAGTTGAATCAATGATAGACCTTATGATACAACGCGCACGCGCTAACTATTCGGCTATCAACAGTTGCAAATACCGATAGGGTCAAGCCAAATATATGGTATAATGTACTCGGCTAAGCTCATATTGTTTTATTAAGATAGATGTTGATACCAGCAATTAAAACTTGGAATTCATTGTGGTATTTGGGGGCAGCTTATGATCGTACTAAGGTATAAAAACCAAATGATTTTAAAATCATTATTACTATTCATGTGTGCTTCTGGTGGATTAAATATTTAACACTTGTATATATTTGTTAAAATATGTTGGATGTCTTTTAGCACACAGGAACTTGATGTGGGCATTTCACAAATACAAATCTATCATTATATGATTATGAATCCAAAGTTCCATATAAAAAATTAAAAATATTTAACAAAAAAGGAATGAGGCTTGATAAGGGAACTTCTTTGTAATTCTCATGAACAGGTAAGAGAATCAACTACTGTATATTAAGACACCCATACTGATAGGGTATATAATATCTGCTTTGTTGCTAAATGTTTTCAGCTTGCGTGGATTTGCTAAGTAATATTGTTATGGTACATTTCGATTGTGCAAGTACTTAGTAGATGGTCATGTAGATGATTTACCGATATCATCACAAAATAGTCCCTGCCTTTGCTTCAACGTCGATGTCTTATAAAACGTGTTAGAGCATATTATATTTCCTATTCATCTGGGTTGGATAACGTCGTTATTAAAAAATACATAAGTAGTTATATCCATATATACACTGTGTTGTGTTTTGTTATGAATGGATAAGGACTGACAATGCACCTACATCAAGTAAGATTTTGGACAGGAAAAACTTTTGGATATTTTAAAAAATCTGCCCTCTGTGTGACACAGTACCTTAGCAAGTAATTCGGCTTTGTCGCTGTCAAAAATCGAAATCAAATCACCTAAATAAAATAAAACCATAAGACAGAATTCGAAGTCCTAAAAAACGTTAAAGGCAAAATAGTGTATTCAAGCAAAATAGTGTAATCAGCAAATGGACTGCTCCTCGTGTACAAAATACACGGCAAACCTTTATATATAAATTTCAAAACACGGTCGCTTTTCAAAACACCAACATTTAATGCCAGTTCATATATATATACATTTAACAACAACAGGAATAGAGGGATAGACGAAGGAAGAAAATGGAAGAATGAAAGAAGAAAATCCCTCGTATGGATGAATTAATGGGTTGAAGAAAGAAGTGAATGAATCAAATCAACACTATAATAATTATCACAATTCTAAAATAGGGAAAAAATTATCAAATATTTTCAAATTTCTAATAAATGTCAACAAAAAGTCTTATCAACATTTTCCCAACGGAATTCTGTATATCTAGTTTTTCACACAAGAATGTTTTTTTAGTCACAACGTCGGTTCATATGACACAATAACACGAGAAACACCACAATTTGAGCAAAATTCACAAAATAATTAAATACTGTTAGGGTTGTAACAATTTTATGTTCGTTCCACTTCAGATTGGAATGGTCTGAATAGTCCGTTTGGTGCAATAGAGCTGCTATTTTTAGTAACAGGTGTCGGATTTGACGTGGGGACTGTAGAAAATGACGTAGGAGCACATGATTCACTAGGAGTTGTGGATGGTGAAGTGTGATTTAAAACTGAGCTCGGCTCTAATGGTGACCTGGAATTGCAACCCATCGTCGGCTGTGGATGAATTGGGTGAGGGATTGGTAAAGATGGGGGTCTGAGATACGAGTTAGCTAAATTGTTCATTGATTCCAATGTCGGTCTCATTCCGCCTGGTAAACCCATTGGAGTTATGCCGCTAGGTGATCGTGGCATTCCCACGCCAGAATAGTAGTTGTATGGAGTTGGAGATGTCATTGCGTAGGGATAAGAAGCGGCTGCGGCTGCTAGGTAGGCGTAGAGATGGGGATCAGCAATCCCATACGGCCAGGCCATGGCCATTCTTTGGCGTTTGTCCTTCATTCGGCGATTTTGAAACCAGACCTGTTAGAAATAAATTTGTAATTATTAATAAATTTATAATTATTAATAAATTTGTAATTATTAATAAATTTGTTGTAATTATTAATAAATTTGTTGTAATTATTAATAAATTTGTAATTATTAATAAATTTGTTGTAATTATTAATAAATTTGTTGTAATTATTAATAAAATTGTAATTTGTAATTATTAATAAAATTGTAATTTGTTATTATTAATAAATTTGTAACTATTAATAAATAAAAAAATCATTGAAAATGGTTAATAATATAGATTAATCGGAAAAACAAGGAACTACATGTAATTCCAGTATTGACAATAAAATTCTGACTTATCTTATATTGGTTATAAATTTTGGTTAAAGCCTACCTTAATTGTGCTCTCAGATAAATTCAATGATGCTGCTAATTCACATCTTTTAGGTCGAGAAACGTAATTCTCTTTAAGAAATTCTTTCTCTAGTCGGCCTAGTTGCTCTCTTGAAAAGGCTGTTCTGTATCTTCTAATTTCTTTGTCATCCAATGGAGAATCTAAAAAATAATAAAATAAAATAAACAAAACACACTTTAAAAACGCATTTCCTGATTTCATTTTACTTTATGTTCAAGAAAACAGACTACATTTTAAAATAATAAACATAAACAAAAAATAAAATAATCAAAGACACAGTCGATATTCTTTTTATATAACAGAATATGGAATAGTTCTTAATAGATAAAATCTTACTAAATTCTGCACGTAATTCAGAAGCTTCAATGAAATATGACGGAGCTTATTAATAATATCAAATATTACATAAATATTGCTAATGGATTGGGTAGACAGAAAATGTTATTACTCTGTTAGTGTTATCGTAACATGGATAATATAGATCACACTATCTTCTACGAAAATGTGTCTAAAGTATGAAGTTATGACAGGATATTACGTCATTAACAAGTAGCCGTTTGTTTATGGTTGCAGACCAATAAAAACAGGAGCTCTTATTACGTCATCTGATGTCAATGAAGCTTGAAAATAAAAATGGCAGCCGTATGAAAAACAAATGTTTGATTCCCATGTCAAAATAAATGAACAATACGCCTATATTACATGTGAGCGACAGTGCTATTTTTTTTTTTAATTTTCATAACCGGGGATAAGTTGTACCACGATGGGGTGGGTTAATTTATGTTAATTTATTCAAACCGAATGAACTCGCGTGTTTCACTTATAATTTGATTAAAAGTAACACAGCACGTGCAATATGTCACGTTATATATCGATTAACAATGAAATTATTTATTATAATCAAATCCAACTTGTTTGTACAGCAATAAAAAATAATATCATTCAATTTGTAACTTCATAACCCAACATGATTGTTGACTTGGTAAATCTAATTTACTTGTTTATTAAATAGTGATAATAAAATATGTTTTATTGTGATTAAACATAAGAAATCTTTGGGGTTCAAATATCGGTAAATAAGAGAATATTGTTGAGTTTATGGTTAACGCAAGATGTGTATAATATAACATTAAAGAATATTTGTTGGATTGTCGGTGTAAATCTGGTTGTCAACAAGTAATTAGCAGGTAGCGTGGACCATTTCGATATATATATATATACAGGGTGTATGCAAATAGTTAAAGCATACATGAGAAAAAAAGGGGAAAAAATGTTGCGTTTTAAATGCGTTTAAAACGTTTTATAGGTAAAAATGTGAAACTATCCGCAATCCTCTAACATAAAGCTAGTATGCCAACTACTAGCTTAGCCCCAAGCAACAGAAATTTAGCGAAACGAAAACAATATTCTTGCTAAGTGTTGAAATTAGCATGTCAATTCTTCTTATTATTATTGTCTTATTTCAACGAAATAATAGACAATAATCCCGTTCAACAACACTGCAATTAAATTCGATAAGGACAACTTAATCTCATTGTCTTCGTATCGATTCAGAGTAATTAATCCCATTACAAAATTTGTACACAGCCATTAACACGACCGAAGACAAGTGTTAAGTGGTTACTGATTGGTTGATGACCTTGTTAACAGTGAGATAATCTTTGATTGGTCAACAAGATTAGCGACTTATTTCTACGTCAAATTGCCTCAATTAAAAATTCACACATGCCTGTCAGGGGGATTTTTACAACTTTTTAAGTTTATTTTTGTCTGGAATAAATTTAAGCCGTCTGTACTTGTGATCACGTGATTAGCAAAATAGGTAGCGCAGGTGAGGTGGTCTTTAACCGGGGGATGTTTTTAATTAAAATGTGACGTCTTGGGACGCTGACATGCATTTTGACATCATTGTTTCACCAAATAAAATAAATTCATAAAATATGTAATCTCTAAACATCTTTTAACAGAAGTGGGAGAAAAGTGAGAAGAAATATTCTTAACCGCTAGATATTTCTTCTTTTGTCTTTTGAAGATAAATGAATCTAAATAATATGAATTATTTTGAATAGTGGGTGTTTTAAATTTAAGTCATATTTAATGAATGACTATGTTTGTGAAAACCAAATTATCACGATTTATTTTTCTTAGAATTTGAAAAACTACATAACAAAGAACTTTTATCTGCAGTAATTTAGTAATAAATTGCAAATAAATTTTGAAGAGCGACGCATTTTACAAGATCGTTAATTTTAAAATGGGTATGAATGCCAACCACAAAAATACTAAAATAAGCCTGGAAATGTCACAAAGTTAAAACAATAAACCCCATTTTAACAATTTTAAACAATAGTCATGAATCTTATATAAATAGACAATAATGTATAATTTTTACATTATATCAAACCATTAAGCATGTCATGATTTGGTCATCCTTTTTTTAGAATGATTTTTATAATGATAAATTTGTTAAAGGAATCTGCTTTGACTCAACTTATCAGAATTTTCACTAATAAATAAAGTATGCCTTATGTAGATTGGTAGCTATTTAAAGAAGCATCATGTATAATTTAGAGAAAGAGCTAGTTATTCTTGCTATAATAGTTCAAAAATGGATTACGCAAAAAGAGTATACTGACATTTCATTAGCCTCGCTTCTCCATTTTTTAATTAAATGATTAAATGGCATCGAGAGTTTATTATGGTCTTGTCATGTTAATAAATGTTTAATTAATAGTTTATGTAACATTTAAGGCCTAAAGAAAAGCCTGCAATGGACAAATTTAGCTCTTATATAATGCCTTTTTATAGACCTTGTAACTACGGTCGTGTCAAAACTTTTTATAAAAATCTATATTTTTTTTTGTTTATATTAAATTAATGTACTTATTTGTATCGAGAGTGTATATGTAAACGTAATAAATCACCATTAAGAAGACAAATTAAGAGTCAATTATGGCAAATCTAAGAGAAATATGAAAGATACAGATTGTTTAAACTTGACAAAATAATCACCCAATAAAACAAATTACTAACATCTATCAACTTCTAATTCATCAACAGACTCACGATGTATTCAATTTTCTTACAAATCCCCACATGATAGCCCAACACTTCTAAATCGTATTGTTACATCACAATGTACATCTATATTACAACATGCAAGAGACATATGTCAAATAAATTAGGGGATTTATTACCGAAATTTAGGCGCGAAATTTCTCGCAGTATTCTCTATCAATCAAGTCCATTAATGACGTCATTGATATCTGTCAAAATTATCCAAATTTACACGTTTTAAAAAAAAGTTTCTGTTGAATTAATAAGAGCATTTGTTTTGTTAATCAAGCGAATATAATTTCCATCTTGAAATTTTATAAGTAGGCCTAGATGTAGAGTAAGATTTAATGATTGCGGGAGCACCCAAACGATCCAAGTTCATCTCCCGCCCTTGTATCCTTCCTTATATTAAATTATACAGGCACATGTTTAGAAAGTCTTCGGTGCAAGTTTTTCTGAATTTTTATGGACAAAGTTTATCATTAACCCCTGTATCCTTAAATTAATTCAACAGTATATGGTTAATGTTCACCAAGTCTTAAACACGCGACAGTTATAGGTGAAAATAAAACCCGCATTGTTTTAATTCGGCAAAAGATCAAAGCTAAACACCTGTATAGTTCATCGAGTGAGATGTTACCTGTCATCATCGTCTCGTGCACTAACGAAGATGAATCACATTTCACTTTCACCTATCACTAGTACTACTATATTTCACGCGCAATGCTCGTGCATTAAGAGAAACACGAATACTCATTAATAAGTATTAGGTTTAAGATCCGTGTTGAAGAGCGAAAATGGATGATTATGCTAAGTAGTGCTTGGTACGACAATCATTTTGAAAAGTTACTTTTGCTGACAATATTTTAATTGTGCAAATATTCTGACGTCAAAAATCAGGTGAGTATAAACAATCATTGAAAAAGACAATAACAAACAAAAAGAACCAAAACAATATTTGGGATTTCTAGAGATTATCACTTCAAAAATGTGAACAATATGACAACCCCAGCCCCTCCTACCTATGACCAATATTAATAGTTGATTAATAATAAGGATATCAAATCAATACAATATGTACCAGCCAGACGACAACTGGATCGGTTTTATTATTTCTATCTTTAAAAGAATTTTAATGGCAGTAACACTCGTCTCGCCAAACGACAACCATGCCATCCATGAACATTCGCGTGAAGAACTATTCAGTCACGCGGAATTAATGTCAGTGTTCATCACCAACTTGAGAAAATATGGAAATTATTATGTTGTAGTCCTTGAAAATCTCTCGACAACAAAGCTTCAGATTAATACGAGTCAGTGTTATAGAGTTCACGTTTTCAAATACACCGGATTTTAGGATTAGGGGGTGAAAAAACGTTAAGTATTGTGAGGACGAAACGTCTGAGTCGACATTTAAAAATACATTAAAGGGAGGTAATGAGGCCTAGATTAATATTTCAACCACGCCTCCTCATTACAGCTCGCGCCGTGTGGTTACACAGCTCTTGATATGCGAGCTTCTCAATCCGCCTTCATATCAAATTCTAACAAGGAACATGGACTATGATTCCATGAAACATGTGTTTTCGAGGGTTGCGTATAAAAGATGGATTGTTTCGTTCAAAAGGGGTCTATAATAAAACGAACGAGTGTGCATTTAGACGTAATTCGTTTAATCTCGAAGCGCAACAGGTGCCCGTATTTAAGTCAACACCCCGCTCGCCTAAACCTGGGACACTATCTAATTTATTACAGATAAATACAAACCAATAACTCATCTGGAAAATAGTTTTACTAATAAGTTTAGAAATTCTACTCATCTTTTCAATTTTTCCGCTAGCTTAGATCAAAAAGCACTAGAGAATTTCCGCATGGATTCTCCGTATGTAAATGGTAGAAAGGACTTGTACGCGGCTCGTTAAGTTTGGGTTGTTATCGAGTAGCCTAAATGAGCTTATTTCATGCCAAGTGACATGTATATATGGCGTGATTCTTCAATGTCCAGTATTTTTAGGAATAAACTACTAGTACCCCCCCCCCCCCCCCACGACCCATAGACTCATGACTCATAACCTTATATAAAAATATAAAAAAACCCAACAAATACTGGAAAATAAGTTCCTTATTTTTAAGAGAAGATAATAATATTCTTAATGTTGTTGTGGGTTTTATTTGTCAAGGTATTTTTCATAAATCTAACAATAAATATTTGGCAGAATAATTCAGTTATAATTAAATTCTTAATGTTGAAATATTGTTTACTCAGAGTTAAAACATGTTATGTCATAGTCATCTACAAACTCATAACGTTTGAAAAAAATCCTTATACGGCATTTAGTAACTGAACTATATGATATAAAACGTAGTGTGAAATAAAAACAGTGATTGTTTTCCATATAAATTTGTGTTTTATATCAACGTTTGAAAACTAATTCTTAAATTGGTAGGCTCCCAAAATAAACGTTTGTTTACAGAAAGTGGCGTCATAGAAAAATACAAACAGTGTCATTATTCAATAAAATTGTAAGTACCTGAGTTTAAAAACTTAGAATCTGATGACAAATTATTCTGATGTGCATATACTTATTATCTCTTTTTAAAAAAAGCAAGAACTATTCAAATGGTCTTGTTTTAAATTCTTTGAAATCGCAATTAATTTCTCCTGATAATGACATGTTTTAGCTTGATATGTATATCTAAATCCAGGATTTGTATACAATTATAATTTTACTAATGAATTTTACATTCTCGTATATCTTTATTGTTTATTTATTAATAGTCCACATTCCTCAAGACCCATCATAATTTGTTTCCGCACAAATAGAGAGCACTGGCAACTATATAAATGATTTAAAATAATGATGAATTCGAAGTATATGTAAATATGATTGAATATGCCCTTAAGTTGTGTAAATTATCATGTTTATACTTCCACAATAAGTAATTAGTAATCGACAATACTCATAATAAATATATTTTATAATGGTATAGAGATAATCACATATACAAACCGTGGGAAACCCTACTGTACAACAATGCAGTTGTTTATTTTAGAAATAAAAAATAGCTAACCATTAATGATATTATTTATATTTTATTTTTTACAAATTATAAAGTCTCAAATCATTAAAATAAATTTTAAACAATGTATACTATATAATTTTAAAACAATGAATATTTATGTTTAATGAATTATGATCAACACGACATCGAACCATACATTAGGCATAAAAGTCAGAATGTCTGAGTTCGAATTTCCAGAAACAATTATCAAAATAGACTTTCTTATTATTTTTCTAAATTTATTTTGAAATGTTTTTAATTAAATGATGATAAGACTTTTATTTTGCACTTAAATTTAGCGTTCACGGGAACTTGAGCGGTGGGAAGCTCTTCTATTTTCATGTGCTGTTTGGTAAAAATTAAATGTCTTCAATTTGCAGATAAATGAAGGTTGGCATTGGGCAAACCATTATCATTTTCTTTTCACTTAGTTAAGGTAACTACATAAATTGATATAATACAAAACACAACTACAAGTAATACCATCGTTATTCTGGAGAAAGGGTTGCAGCAAGGTGCATGCATTAATGAACTATTATTGTATGTTTGTGCATATGTTTAAAGAAGAAAAATCAAAACAATATAACTAAAGCGGAAATACAAAGTACGAGACAAAACCAGTTAAAAATTGAATGTATGGGTACCATTTTCCTCGCAGAGAATATACGTGAAATTTTGTAGAAGTCTAGATATAACATGCATTTTCAAATATTGATTCGTCATTTTCTATTATACTTAGTATCATTTTTATCACAATTCATATTTTGGGGTACGCTTAATCAAAGAAGGAACTGTTAAGCCTTTTAACTTGAAAGTGTGTGTTTATGTTAAAATGGTGAAATATTCATCAATTTTACAATTAACTTACCTTTATTTTGCATTGATTTCAAGTGATGTTCTGGTGTGCTACTTCTGGATAAACCATGTCTCATTTCTTCTTCTCTCCGTCTCTCATCATCTTCCGATCCTGATGTTAAATCGCTTTCCACACTGTCATTAAAAGGTCGGTGGTTGTAGTTCGGACTGCGAGATTGGAGATCACCATGGTGTAACTGTTTGTCGCTCTCATCTACCGGGAGCCGTTCAACATCGATGTACGTGTCCGTCATTGTATGCATGTTAACGAACACAAAAGTTTGTCAATACACGTGAAAAATATTAGTAAAACGTTGTTTCGAATTTAAAAGCAAAACATTTCAGTGTATCTTTGTTTACTACGAATAAACTATGTCAATAAAGTTTGTTTTCTTCAAAATACTAGTTTCACAAATCCTCAAAAATGCATAAAGAATGTCCAGTAGAAAAGCGTACAACAACTATTCTTTTGCCTTTAGCTGGGAAACTTTGATAAGTCGTCTGCTATAAAGACGATGTAGTAGAGCGTGTTCCAATTGTCTCGTGAATGATACTATGTCGTCGATAAATGACCCACAAGTGGTTACACAGGATTCACTGTACTGTTACCCGTGGTGGCAATTTGTAATTGTGGTAAGACTCCACTTCACTCGACTTAAGACACCGATATCAGACGATCTGAGGCGTGACGTCACCACATGATGGGAGGGCGCGAGAAGTCAACGAGCAAATGATATCCACTACTAACCTGTCCTCTGATTGGTTAATTGAGGATAATTGTAGCCAATTAATATGCAATAACGTGGTGTCGTGTTTACAAGTTATAATGATGGAAGAATGAGATTAGCGGACATCAACTAGCAGAACGTAATACAATATCCCGCCAAATTATCAGACGACAATTAATTGATGGTTTTATTAGAGAGCGAGGTTAATTAGGATGAGAAACAATGGTCGCCATTCTTTTATCGATTGTACTGACGGAGATAACAATGGTCTACAATCGAGTTCCACATTTTAACAATACTCTGGAATCAATATAACCCCCTTGGCCATTTTGACGAGTTCGATGATTTTGTTTGAAGGTCTTCAATGATTTGTGGATTTAGATCTCCAAAAGAACAACAGACTGTGGTTAGAGGTTGGCTAAAGGCAGAGATCAGATAAAATAGAAACCCGACCCTTATTATGTGGGGTTTTTTTTTTCGAACATTTATTACAGAAACATGCTACCTGTTTATCTACCGGAAAACTGTATGCAATACTTTAGTATACGACTTTTTGAAAATTTATGTTTTGTATTTACAAAATCATTTGTTGAGTTAAAGGGACCGAACAGCAAAAATTCGATGGCCATTGCTTTATGCATGATATTTGGGTGGGGTGGAGATATAACTAAAAGATTAAAACTGTTAAGAGACACGAGAAAATAAGAGATACCGAAACTAGAATTGGAAGTAAAGACAAAGACTAATTATACAAAGGCAACAAATAATAAATTAAAAAGGCCATGTATTTTGAAATAGTAAATCTTCAGTGTTTTGCGTTAAATAGGTGAACAATTAAGACATATTTTTATCAGGGAGTTGCCATTTTAACTTCAGATCTTCAGTTTTTATTGGACCCTCTGCTTCTTCCGTTTATCTTAATCATGAACGAAGGAATCATTGTGGTGCGACCCTTAAACCCCTAATTATACTATCCTTGTATTATTTTATGTTACTCGTTACAATATATGGCGGCCATGTTTGATTTTTATAAATTCTCGGCAATAAAACTAAAACCAAGAGGCTCCTAACCTAACAAGGTGTAAAATTATTTCTTAAGACGCTTTGATTCATGCCGACCGACAGGTGAAAAACGGTTTATGAGCGACAAGAACTAAACAAGATTTACCTTGAGACTCCTTTGTTTCTTTTAATTGCATTTAAAGTCGTCTTACTTAAAAAATTTTCAACGGCTCTCGTAAAATTGTTAATTCGATCATTTCAAAAGAATTTCGTTTTCATTCAACAAATAGAGGTGAGATAGAAAGTGTTTCAGAATGTGCTAGCGACAAATTACAGGTTAGGGGTGAAATTATTTTATAAGCAGATTAAAGCGTCGACCTCTCTCTCTCTTTAATTAATAAAACAAATATTAACACGATTCTCAAATTGATTTTGTGATATGGTTTACAGATCAGAAAGCAGGAGATTGGCGGATCGAATGTTGATCATACAATTGAATGCTTTTTGTTTCTACTTGAAAGTCGTAAAAACTGACCACTATGTAATAATTTAATCAACACATTTTAAAAAATTGTTCCCAGTATCGGCGAATCAACTGTTGATCATAAAGCTGAATACTTTCTTTTTTTTCTACTTATAATAAATGGCTACATAAAACTGACCCCAATTGATCATTAATAAAAAAAAAAGGAGAACATATTGTAATTATGCATTGCATTGGGTCTGTTATACGCTTATTGTGTTTCAACTCGTTGATTGTAAGCCGGGCTGAAAGACTGGACATCAAAGACCCCGATGTCCTAATCATAATTTCAGTAGATATTCAAGAAATCCGCGCCGTTTAATTTCTAAGGGAAATGTCCCTCTTTGACACTCGTTTCCCTAATCGTAAAAAAAAAATCCTTTTATGGACTCAATTTCTAATCGGTCATGATTATTTTGAAAAATTCTGAAAGTAAATAAAAATGGCCCAGGAACTGTTTATTGAATAATCGCATAATTTAGACAATAATAAGTAGTATATAAATTTTACTCGGAACGTTGTCAATCGCTTTACCTTCATGGTTTTTATGTTTGGAATGGGCAAAGATTATTCTGAATTCCGGCGTGTTAATTATTTTAATTTAGACATCGACCATTGTGTAGAATACCTGATACCATTTCCGATTTATTTAATTAACAAGTTATGTTGTATACGCTTGTATTGGACCACCGAAGGGTCATAATGTAGGAGATCTAAAAATAATGTAGAATCTTATACCGTGTCATCCGGAATAACAATATCTATAAAGAGTAGCTAATTTAGAATATTTTAATTTTTAATTTGCCTTCTTATATTGTTGACATAGTGAAGTCTATTTTAATTTTTAAATCGCCAGATATGACTACACTTGTTATATTTTATCTCCGATATTTTCATCTTGGTCATCGACTGACCACCGAGACAACAGCTGTAATAATTACAACTTGAAAGACTGGCGCCATATTGGAATCAATATCACACAGTCAGAGAAATGGTTTTTCTTTTTACTACCAATATGTTTGTAGCGTGAGAAGTTGGTACCATATCGTTTTCTGACCACAAACTAAATTACAACTAGTACTAATTAAACTATATGTTAATGAGTCGGCGTTTTTTGATATTTATATTGAAGAGTAATTAATGGATTTTATATTCCTGTGGTAAAATAATTAATTTATTGAGTAATAAACTACATGTGTTTTAGTGAATCTGTTTTCTAAGAATCGATTAGACAAAAATAGCATCGATTAATTAGAAACAATTAAAGCTTAGGTGTAAAACAATTCAGTGTCAATTTTCGTTTTGTATATATCGCTTAGATAAAAAAAAAGAGTATCCAGCCTTATTACCAAAATGACTTTTAGTAGCAACGTTTCTTAAACATATATTTTATGAGTTTAATAGATTAGGTTATACAACAACGGAGTAAGTCAACTCGACATATTTATATAACAAATGGATATTGAAAAAAGAAAATTGTCGCGATGAAAGTAATTACATGTAAATACGTTTCAGACATCTTTAAATTACTACTGTTTTTATTCAGTATAAAAGTTTTATATAGATATTTGGTGTTTTCTAATGAAAATTAAAAGGGAAATCAGATATTCTATACAACTGTAACCAATGCAATAAAATTTGAAGAAACCAACTTCTAGGAAGAACTTCAAATTTTAAAGTAGAATAGTACAACGACAGAATAAAATTCGGCACAACACAGAACCCTGGGGACTACCGAGTTCAGTATAATGATAATTTTTTGTCTAAACGTCTTCCGTGTTCATTGGAAAAGGAGGAATTATGAAAATAGGCATTGAAATAACAATTAACAATATATTTGCAATTATGATATATATTGCTATATATTTTTTTCTAGCATAATTTACAGAAGATTTGATTCTGTGTCGTGGTTAATATATATTATAAGCCTTTGTTTTAGTCAGTAAATCATAAATCATTGCCTAAACAATACATTAATACAATGTAGACAATATATAAAAATAAAATAAAACCAAGTACGAACAATCCAAACCATAAGACAGAATTCGAAGTCCTAAAAAACGTTATAGGCAAAATAGTGTATTCAAGCAAAATAGTGTAATCAGCAAATAGACTGCTCCTCGTATTAGGAAAGAAGAAGTCCAGTTTTCTCATGATATTGCACTAATTTGATCCGGATTTTATTCAGAGAATTCTCGATAACGATTGACAATTCGAAGGAATAACTTGAATAATGAATGACCTGTTGATTTAAGTTATTCTAGAAAATATTTTTCTTGGAAACAATAAAATCCAAAATGACTTTTAGCTTTCTGCTATATGAACAAAAGTGAATGGGAGTGTTGAGTTACCCGAGTACATGAATTGAAAAAAATCCACACGTCTTCAAACAATACTTTGGGCGCTATTGACGAAAACGATCTCGGTGATACCTGGCGGTGATTAGTAGGACTCCCTTTAACTTCCTATGTCGTCCAAAAAACCGTTGCGTTACAGCTTGTTGTAACTTGAAGTCAAAAATCGTGTTTCCAAAAATAATTAAACAATAGCAACATCAATTATCGTGAACAGCCCACACCAGGAACTTTCTTCATAACAGCAATCATTGTTTATAGCTACATTAACTTGATAATTTTTGACTGGCGTTAATATTGTTGTTGACTTAATTTGTCTCATTTTTAAAGGAGCGTTGACATTAATTTGGAATTTTTTAAGATTTTGTGTATAAATTAAATAAAATAATCAGTAAACATGTTTCAAAAGGTTTTCATTTATCACAGTATACGGTTACATATTTTTTTTTTGGGGGGGGGGGGCGAATGGGTAGCACGTGCGCGCTGTATCATAAGGTCTTTATTGAGCCAACTGGCGTGGTTTCGATTCCTCGGTTGTACGTGACAAGGAGTAGGATCGCCTGTCCGACCTCGTGGGTTTTCTCCGGGTCCCCCGATTTCCTGGCACTGCTAATGATCCCTACGCGGAAGCGAATTATTGACATTAAATTGAACCATATCTTAGACCGGAAATGACCTAGTTTGTGGACGTTAAACTCTCTCTCTCTCTCTCTCCTTTTTGAATGTTAACTATAACCTAGCTCACAACACGCCGTCCGTGCTGCTATGCGAACAGTCTAAGGAGGAATTTTTTTAGTAAACCCGTGCGTAAGACTTACGTGGCACTTGCATGTGTTATGCACCGTAGAAGATCGCAGACTGGCCGTAGAGACTTTTGGTCCTGCGCATACAAAATTTTCACTCGGTTTCTTGCGGCTGGTCTGCGAACTACCAAACCATAC